TATGTAGTGCTTTTTGGTATAAGATAAACGGACTCATAATTGAGCGAAAAAATTATCTCTCATATGTTGTGCTTTTAGGTATAGTAATATAAGTGGACTAATAATTGAGCGGGAAAATTTTATCTCTCATATATATTGCTTTTAGGTATATGAGAAGATAAACGGACTAATAATTAAGCATGAAAATTTTCTATCTCATACGTAGTGTTTTAGGTATATAAGATAAGCAGACTAATAATTGAGCGGGAGAATTTTTTCTCTCATATGTAGTGTGTTTAGGTATAATAATAACAAGATAAATGGACTAATAATTGAGCGGGAGAATTTAATCTCTCATACGTAATGCTTTTCAGTCAAAGATGACAAGATAAATGGACTAATAATTGAGCGCGAGAATTTCCTCTCTCATACGTAGTGCTTTTAGGTCAAAGATAAGCCGACTAAAACTTAAGCAGTAGAATTTTCTGTCTCATATGTTGTACTTTTAGGTATAAGATAAGACGACTAACAATTCAGCGGGAGATGTTTCTCTCTCATACGTAGTGCTTTTATATTAGGTATGAGATAATTCGGCTAAAACAATTGAGCGGGGGAATTTTCTCTCTCATACGTAGTGATTTAATGTATAAAAAGATAAACCGGCTAAAACTTGAATGGGAGAATTTTCTCCCTTATACGTAGAAGTGGTTTTGATTATAAGATAAGCTCATAAACCAGCTAAGAATTGAGCGGGTGAATTTTCTATCTCATATGTGCTACTTTTACTTATAAGATAGACCGATTAAAATAAATAAATAATAATAATAATAATAACAACAACAACAACAACAACAACAACAACAACAACAATAATAATAATAATAATAATAAATATTAGGTATGAGAAGTATAGGTATAAAATAAGTCGACTTAAACAATTGAGCGGGAGAATTCTCTTTCTCATACGTAGAGGTTTTAGGTATAAGAAGATAAGCGGGCTTAAACTTAAGCACGAGAATTTTCTCTCTCATACTTAAAGTTTTTAGGCATAAGATAAGCCTGCTAAAATTTAAGCCGAAGATTTTCTTCTCTCATACGTAGTGCTTTTGTATATAAAAAGATATAAGTCGGCTAAAACTTGACCAAAAGAATTTTGCCTCTCATACGTAGTGCTTTTAGATAAAAGAAGATAAGAGGTTAACAATTCAGTGGGAGAATTTTCTCTCTCATATGTATATTGTTTTTAGGTATAATAATAAGAAGATTAGCCAGTTAAAACTTGAGCGGATGAATTTTCTCTCTCCAACGTGGTGCTTTTAGTATAAGATCAGAGGACTAATAATTTAGTGGAAGAATTTTATCTCTCATACGTATTGATTTTAGTTATAAAAAGATTAACGTGCAGATAATTAAGCGGGACAATTTTCTCTCTCTTACGTAATGATTTTAGATATAAGAAGATAAGATAAGATAAGATAAGATAAGATATGTAGACGAATAATTGAGCGAAATAATTTTTCTCACATATGTAATGCTTTTAGGTATAGGATAAACAAAATAATAATTGATCGAGAGAATTTCATCTCATATTTTTTCTCTCATGACCTTTTAAACTTATGAGAAGACATTTTTCGATAATTATCACTAATGTTATGACAATTAATAAATATCAAGCTCTATCACTACAAAAAGATAAAATATTCCCACCTAGATGTATTTTAGTCATGTAAAATTTATATATATGACGTTAGAGAGAGTTTAGAAAACATGGATTAATGATTTTAATACTACTCCAAGTCATTACTACTTCAAGTTGTCTTTAAGGTAGTTATTCAAAACTTTAACAATTAAGCTCAATATTTCACTCTGTTACCAACAACACTAATTATTTTTATGTAGTAAATTTTAATGGATGATGTCGATTTTTTATATTTTAATTTTCTTTTACTTTGAATATTTGTTGTATGGATTTATGCTTTTTTATATTCACTTATCATACTCCATTTTTGAAATGTTGTAAATTGCAAGAAAAAAAATCTATTTTATATTTAATTAGACCGTGAATAAAAGTATGTGTAGACCAATCGTTTTTTCCCGTGCGTATGTACGAGTACTGTGCTAGTTTTAACGAAAAAGTGACGAAGTTTTTTGGGACAATAAAAAAAGAAAAGATGACAAAGTTTAATGAGAGAGAGGGAATATATATAGATAGATGTCTATGAATTCTACTACGTAGTACGTATTAAAAAGGACTTTGACTATTTCAAAACATTAACACTTTTTCTTGAAGTAATCATTCTTTTACATGTGTATACTCCGTAGATTTCAATTCGAAAATTTAATTTCTTATTTCAAAGCATTAGTAAAACTTAACAAAGTTTTAATGGGTGATACCACTTTACAAGATGAAACTGTGTTTAGACAGCTTTATTAATGTGAAGTCGACATGTGTTCTTATACTTTTAATTAAAATTAAAAAAGTAGATTCCAAAAACGTTTTTTGAAAATTGCAATTTTCAGTTTAATAACCGGTCATCTTTGTTCCAAAAGCTGGAATCTCCCACCCCAGGAGCCCCCCATACCCCGACCCGACAAGATTTTTGGAAGGATGTTAATCACGCTGACTCAGTCGACTCAATGATGGTAGGCCTTTTCCCCGTCAACATATTAAAAATCAGATCTTATGGATGTTCGGTAGGCCCCTTATGCTGATGCTTTGTATGGAATCGTCTTACAAGTTTAGTATTGTGATTTTTCGGTATAAAACGGTATGTGTTACATACCGTACCGAATTTTCGGTATACCGAAAGTTTCGGTATGGTAACAGTATGACATTTACAAATACCGATATCTCAGGATGGTATGCGGTATGGCATGGAGAGTTCGGTATGCCATACCGAACCAACCTTAGGTGTGCCTTAGGTTAGTCACTATCTGGCATGATATGATAGTAATTGTCAACAGAGTCACTATCGACAACAGTGGTGTGATGGCGGTGATGGCAGTGTGAGGGAAATGACAATTGGTGAGGGTGGCTAGGCAAGCATTAATTAATTATTGATTATAAAATGTTATATTTCAATCATAAATGTATTAATATTAAATAAGAGTATAAATGGTAAGAGTAGTAACTTTTAAAGAAAATTAAGAACAACATATTGTGAGTGAACAATGTATTCACACACAAAAAGTATCTTTCATAGGCACTTGTATGGAGCGTGTATGGAAATGACATGTATAAATAGTTTTAGAGATAATTACTCTAGATATGATTAACACTCCTCACTTTCCCAATCAGCCAATCTATGACCTAGTTAGTTTTTTTCCAAAATAATATTTAATTGATAATATATAAATAATGTATTTAATAAATAAATTAATAAATAAATTATTTGGACTAATATCCCTTAACTTATTGTAATAAAACTCTAACCAACAAGAGTCCAACCGCCAACCACTAGATCTAGTCGCGCGTCCGCCATTAGCCGTCAGCCTGCAGCTTCCACCCGCTCGTTCATCGCTCGCTAGCTGCCCGTCTGCCTGCAGCTTCCAGCCACTCGTCCACCGTTTGCTAGTTGCCCGTTTGCCTACAGCTTCCAACCGCTCGTCCACCGCTCGCTATCTGCCCGTTCAACTGCAGCTTCCAACCGCTCGTCCACCTCTCCCTAGCTGCCTGTCCGCCATTAGCCGTCTGCATGCAGCTTCAAGCCGCTCGTCCACCGCTCACTAGCTGCCTGCCTGAAACTAGCCTCCTCTTCCTCATCTTCTTTTTTCATTTCTTGAAATTAGGGTTGGTGATGTGCCCAGAGAATGGCGTTAGACTGCTGCTCCAACAACTTAGATTCTTCAGCCAATGTCACCGAGGATGAAGATGAACTCAAGTTTGAAGACAATTAAAGACGATGTTGAAGGATTTCTAGGACAGTGAATAGTGAATGACATGAATAAATTTTATTTAATGTAACAAATATGACAAGAAATGTAGTAATTATGGCAAGAAATGCTATAATGTAGAGAATTGCCGCGGACTTAAAGTATAGTATATTCAATTTGACGTAAGATTAAAGTTAACTATTTTAGTCAAAGAAATCAAACATTTATTGATCACTCATTTTGAGAACAACCCCTAGTAATAAGAGTTAATATCACTTGGTCCAAAAGGTGGAATCTCCCACTCCAGGAGCCCCCATACCCCGACCCGACAGGATTTTTGGGAGGATGTTAATCAAGGTGACTCAGTCGGCCCAATGATGTAGGCCTTTTTCCCGTCCGCACCAGAGGCCCAGCCTTATTTCAGATTCCGTGACCTCCACACGGCCGCTGGTTTCGAACCTTGGTCACTTGGTCCAAATTTCCGACCACTGAACCAACTGAGCTACCCGTGCGGGTATAACCGGCCATCTTTGGTCTTACTCTCACTATCCAATTTGTTCGGATATCGCATTAAATTGTCACATAATGTACTAAATTTGTAATGTTTGTATGACTCTAAATTAATGTTTCTATATTTTTACTTTATCAATTTAATATCAACTAGTTAAATTCATTTTTCTTAATAATAATGTCATTTCTTGTTTCGATATTACTGGGGGACGAAAGTAGTAACATTTTAAATAATACTCCGTAGCAAATTTCAAATCTACACACCCCCTTTTTTTCATTTTTTGAGTAACATTTCATCATTAAGGCATCTCCATCCATAGGATTATTTGAGGATTAAGTTGGTGATGTGGCGGATCATTTTTGGCATCATGATTGAGTGATAAAGATTATTTGAAAAAATAATCCTGGATTGAAATATGAATCCATATTATCTCAAGATTATTGTACAGCTGTTATTAATTAGTGAATGCAGGACCCACAAAAGATTTGATTATTTTGAGATGATGAATGGTGTGATTTAAAAAGTGTGAAATTATTTTGAAAAAATCTACATGTCAATATACGTATCAATAAAAAATCCATTTATTTAAGTAACATGCTTTTAAAAATCCGTTTAAGAGAGGTGAGAATTAATTAGAGTAGAAGTAAATGGTTTCCGTGTTGCAGACGGAGGATTGAGCAATCAACGCCTATCGTCTTCTTAGTCAAAACTTTAAATACTCCGTATTTTCGTTCCTGTTTGAAAATGTGAAAACATCGTATTTCGCCTTCTGAGTAGTGTTCACTGTTCAGGATCATACTGCCCACATCCGTAAACAGTACCCGAATACCCGCAAGACAAAGAAGCAATCTTTAATTGTCGGATTCTCTCTGTTCTCAGCCCAAAGATTTCCACAACCGCTTTTCTTCTCCGGGTTTGGGTAAATTTTCATTTTTCCAGAATGTTTCGAACTCGAGTGTATTCGGGTCGGGACGGCGCAAACCCGTTTAAAGCTATTGCCTTTTTGGATGCCAAAGGTGATCGTCTCAGGGCGTCGTTGAAATTCGGAGTTTGGGTTCTGTTCGTCGCATCGGCTCTGTTGGCTCTTAATTCGGCGCTCACCGGCGAGATTCCACTGTTCCGGCGGTGCTCCGAAACCTCCGGGTCGACCCTGAAATACGCGCCCGCGCCCGAGAGCGAGATCCACGACCCGTATTCTTCTTCGCCGACGAACATATCCCACATCGTCTTCGGCATCGGCGGTTCGATCAAGACTTGGAGTTACCGGAGATATTACTCCGAACTCTGGTGGCAGCCGAATATCACTCGGGGGTTCGTATGGCTGGACAGCGAACCGAATCCGGGTTCCCCGTGGCCTGCGACTTCTCCGCCGTACCGGGTTTCATCGGACTGGACGAAATTCAAGTACACCCGTTTCCAGTCGGCAGTGCGGTTATCCCGGATCGTGGTCGACTCGTTCCGGGTCGGGTTACCAGGCGTGAGATGGTTTGTGATGGGGGACGATGACACGGTGTTCTTCCCCGACAACCTCGTTTCTGTCCTCGGGAAGTACGACCACCGGGAGATGTACTACGTCGGCGGGAACTCGGAGAGCGTGGAGCAGGACACGTTGCACGCGTACGACATGGCGTTTGGCGGCGGCGGTTTCGCGATAAGTTATACATTGGCGGCAGAACTGGTCAAGATAATGGACGGCTGCCTCGACAGATACTCTTACATGTACGGCTCAGATCAAAGGGTATGGGCATGCGTAAGCGAACTTGGGGTTTCTCTGACCAGAGAACTCGGATTCCACCAGGTATTTTCTGTTCCAACCCAAGCCATTTTCCCCTTTAAAATAGGGAGTAATTAATTTCTTTTTTGAAGTGATAAGCTTTCTTTTTATGGAATTAATTAAATGAATATGTGCATTTATTCATTCATAAGTGTGATTTAGTATTTTCTTGATTATATGTGTGATTTAGTATTTAGGAACTCAACATATATAATGTATTAATAAAGTGTAATTTATTCATTCATAAGTGTGATTTAGTATTTAGGAACTCAACATATATAATGTATTAATAAGTGTGATTTAGTATTTAGGAACTCAACATATTGAAATTTACAGAATTCACATCTTCTACTTTGACTACGTTTATCTTATAATGTATCAATATTTTTTTCTAAAAAATATTGTTGAAATTATCTCACAATAAATTTTCAAAGTTTGATTTTTTAAAATTTTATACTAACATAGAATAATATATATTAATTGTTAAATATGGGTAGTATAAATTTGGTTTGTTCCGGTAAGTCTACGTAGTATTAAAGTCCAGTCCATCTCGAGATAGAATTCTAAGAGGTAAGGATAGGACATACATATATTAGATATTTTTGACAATTAGTTAGGATGTTAATATAAAGTTACAAATATACTCCCTCCGTCCCCCTATTATTATCTCATTTCCTATTCACTTGGTCAACACAAATAACTTTTAATCTCTTATTTTATTTATCAAATTTTTATCAAATTTGATTCTGGTTTTTGCGACTTTGTAAACCTTTTAATGTAGTTTCTGAATATGCAATTTTTTTTTCCTATAAATAATTCTAGTGCGGACAGGGATCTGTTTGCTTATCGTCAGTCAAGCATCGTAAACCGCAATGGGACAATAACAGGGGGACGGAGGTAGTAATAATTATGAATGAAATGATTTCTAATATTTGATTAAAATAAATAAGTTTGGTAAAAAGTTTATAAGTTCTAGAGATGTGACAACATCAAACACGTGTTTACTAATTTAGGGGAAGTTACATATTTGGTACAATAAGCCCCAACTCGTTGGATTCTCAAACTTCATATAACAGTCATTGTTACGTTTTGTTGGTTACTAGTCTAATCTAATGTATGCGTAGAATTCAAAGTATGCTTTAAGATTTCAACCGTTATTCAAAATTTAGAACATACATAAAGGTTTTGATCCAAATTTTGTACGAAATAATTTGAAAGTTTTTAAAGTTTTGAAACTTGAGTAGGCCTTTGAGAATTAGTGACTGGTCACAAATGTTCAACTGTGATTAGTTTTTGTCGGGTCTAATTTGAATTTACATTGATTTGATAAATATTTATTTTATTATTCAATATCACACCTCATTTTCTAATTCACTTTTGTTTTACGAATGTGTCAAAAAGAAGAAGTTACTCCCCGTTCCATAAAATTCTTCTCACTTTCTTATACAACTATAACCATACATTTTCACTTTATTCCACTTTCTTAATATGCGCGTCAAATCAAACTCGGAAAAATTTTCTGGGATGGATAAAATATCATTTATGTATAAAGATATCACTTTTATCTTAAAAGTCTACTTTTTGCTCACATTTTGCTTGATTTGACATAAAGTAAGGAAAAAATTGGAAAGTCAAAACAAAACTCGCTTACATAATTATGTGTGTAAGTCAAATTATAAATTTGTTATATAGTGTGGTCTAGTCTAAAATGATAAACTAGTTTAACTTGATCCACTTAAGTTCGATTTGTTTAAGTTTGGTTCGGTTATTATAATTTGGCTGATTGAAATAACAGGAAGTACAAAAGTTCATATGAGTACGCAGAATAAATTCTTAAGTATCTTGAGACTAAAATATATTCCCTACGTCCTATAAAATTCTTCCCAATCTGATTTGGATGAGAGTTTAAAAAATGAGAAAATCCGACTTGGATTAGAATTTAAAAAAATGAGAATAAAGTGTAGATTATATTTGTAGTTGAGTGAGAAAAAAATAAATTAACGATAGTATACAAAACTGAATAATAATTTCGGAAACTCTAAAAAGGGTAGGAAAAAAGAATTTAAAAAAAAGGAGAAAGTAAGTAAAAACAAAACACAAAATATGAATTCATACGTACTCTATTACGTAGCAGCCGGTACCACGTTCGTCTTTTCCTATAAATAGATAGGTGACATTTTTAAGACTTTTTCACATCCCATTGCTAAATACGGAGTATTAGGGCAACAGCATGCACAAACCCCAAACGTTGTGGCACTAGCTGGAATATGTTGAGACATTTAACATATTCTTCTTGTATTCACCTCTATATTCACATTATATTCATCATGAAGATTTTTTGTCTTAATCTGGTTTACGGTACAAAATATGTTCTATTCTGTGCGAAAGTTGCACATACATATTTTGTCTATGAACATCATTCACACGCAAAAAAAAAAACTCTGCACAAACATGGTCGGTATAAAAGTGGATACAAGGGTGTTTAGAAACAACTTTTTTGTTTATATATAGGCTTGTACACATTCTTTATTGAACAAGTAATAAATTTCAAGTTATTCTAATACTAAAACAAACAATTCTGCAATTCTTTAATAGTTCTGCAGTTCTTTAATTTACGCATCTTACTTTGACTAATATTTTCTACTACTCGTAATATTTATACAATCAAACTATTATGTATGAAATGTTATTACATTTTCATTAATGTAAATTTCAAAAATACGCCGTATTAATTTTTGTGATGTCAAGTAATACTAGAATGTTCCTTAAAAAAACTAATACATGTACGTAATTAAAGATGATAATAGAAAGTGCTACTTTTAGAGAACACATGATAGTACGTCGTAGTATAATACTCGTACTTTGTATGCACCAAATATATGAATTAAAAACATAATAATAAATAATCTCATATATTTTATTTTATTATAATATTAAGAAGACTTCTTGTGAGTTGTGATTTACACACTCATAATAGACAAAAAGTGAACTGGATTTATTTGGGAGGCATGATATTAAAAACAAATAGATAATGGATGTTTTCAGTCATATATAGATCACTTCAGTTTAACCCAGATCGGCTATCATAGTTATAAAATACATAGAGATCAAAACAGTTCAGACTAAAATAAATCAGATCTAAACAGATCAGACCAGACAATCAAATTTCAACCCAAATAAAAACATTCTAAATACTATACACATATTACTTATCATTGAGAAAGCGAAATAGACAAATAGTCCGTAACTATTATGGGCTTTTGCTTTTACAAAGTAGCAATCGAAGGAAATTGCGTTTTTGATATTCCGCTCATCCGATGGGGAACCAAAGCATCCGAAATAGGGGGTTTTCGTTCTTCAATTAGTCGCTTTCGGTTACCAAAAAGAGGAATTGGCGCCTTTGATTTCTTTTGATTTGTTTGATCTGTAGTTCTGTACGACACGTTCGTGATGTGCCACGCATTTTCACGTGACACGTTTCCTCACCTTTGTTTAATTTCTCGTTTCAAATTCATAGGCCGGTGCCTATGCATAATTTTAGGAGAAAAAAGTGCATTTTTACTGTATTTTTCCACCATTTTCATTCTTTCTAGAGTTTCCAGGGCGGTTAACGGATCGAGCTTTTATCGGAATATTTGAGTTCGAGCTCGGGTACGAACCTAACGAGCCGAACTTAACGAGCTTTCAAACTCGAACCCGAGCTGAATTTTAAGTTTGAAAAATTAATCGAGCTGAGCCGAGCTCAAACATAGCAGTATTCGGCTCGATTCGAACTCGAGCGTATCGAACACCCTTATTAATTATAATTTATATTTAATTATAATTTATATTTATAAATTATAAATATAATTTATATATATGTCAAAATTTGAATATAATTAGTATGATTTTATGAATTTAAATATGATTATTAACGAACCGAATACTTATCGAATCATTCGAGCACGAGCTTATTAACGAGCATCACCTAAAATTTTAAAATCAAGCATGTTTGTCGAGTTTATCGAGCGCTCGGTTCGAACATCGAACGCCTATCGAGCCGAACACGAGCCTCATTTGTAAAGCTCGCTGAGCTTCGAGCTCAAACCCGAACACCACTAATTCCTTATCGAACCGAACTCGAGCTTTGGGTGTTCGGGCTCAGCTCGTTAACAGCCCTAGTTTCCACTTCCTTCTCTTCTGCTTTAGTAAACACAAATACTAGTACATGTCAGCTTACACACACGTTTACGCCAATTGTTTGGAAGTGTTTGCCATTCAACAGTTAGCAGTTAACGGATAGCGGGTTATGTTAGCGGGTTGTCAATAGCAAATTCGGTCTGCGGGCTTGACTGGCGGAATAAATTGGCAGATTGTCAGAAGATGTTAGGTAATTTAGCTGTTTGGCCATAAAATTAGTAGAAAATGTCATTTTCAAAACGTCAACCCAAAACTCTCATGTTAGTAGTGTTTTCATTTCAGTGTTTCCATCCGAAAATGCTGGTCCCAAAACGCTATTTACCAAACAATTTTTTTACTTATCGAAAACGCTAAAAGTGGTCAACCCGTCACTTTTTTGGCTGAAATACCGTTTACCAAACACTCCCTTTATCTGAGCATAGACAAAATATAATTAGCTAAGAGAACTGTCCGTGACCCTGAAAAAATGAATTGACGTGTAAACGAGCGTGTAAACCATGTATAAGTAGCATTTTTATTTATTCAATGTCTCAATGATATATACCTTTCATTTTATCTAACTCTAACATTTGTTAGAAAAATTAACAAACGGATTCTTGATGTTAAGTTTTTATTTAAGTTTGGTTTATGATGCTTCAACCAAAGATCAAGAAGGGCTCAAAAAATTATTCAAACGGATTTTTGGGCTTCGATACCAAATGTTGGAAATAAATTGATAAAGAAAATCTATTCTTGATAAATATACCAAGTGTTGACGTCAAAACGAAAGCTACAAACAAATTTTCCCGAAATAACTAATATGAGAAGGAAGAATTAACAAAATGCAATGTGTTTTAATTAAGAGAGAACTATCAAATAAGTCCTCGAACTTTCATAAAAAGTGAAAATAAGCCCTTTTATAGGAGGCTTTATCCGGCCGTCGCCATTTGGGGCAGTTTCAGGTGGAATTTTTTGATAATTTTTTTTGAGTATCTTCTTCATTAAGTCTAGTTTAATCATACCAAATTTCAGCTAAACATTAAAACAGGAAGACAGTCAAATGAATTTTTGAAGATAACTGCACAGTTAGACAGTGCAACATATTTCAGAAAATCATTTGACTTCTTTCTCGATTGAATTTTTAGCTGAAATTTGGTATGGGTAAACTAGACTTAATGAAGAAGATGCTAAAAAAATGTGATCAAAAAATTCCACCGAAAACCACCCCAAATGACGACAGCCGGACAAAACCTCCTGTAAAAGGGCTTATTTGCACTTTTTATGAAAGTTTGAGGGCTTATTTGATAGTTCTCCCTTTAATTAATGAAGAGAAGAGACATATATATAGCCTTACAATAATTCCTACATGGGAAGTGGGATTGAAGAAAGTGGGAACATGTAAAACATACATGCTAAGTAACCACCCACTAAAATAAATGTTTAACTTCAAACTAATACCACTAATTTAATAAATTAATTAACACATAAACCAAACTTAAATAAAAACTCCACCCTGCATGCATATATGTAAGACCCATGACCGATTAAATCCAACATGTAATTGGGTATGTGTGAAAGATTAAATTTGCACTACTGGCTTCATTTTTTTGTAGTTACGATTTTGAAGGAATGAATTAAAAAATTGTAATACTTATAATGCTCAAGTTCATATGAAATAATGTCCATATAAACTCTACTCTGTAATATTTTAATTGATTAATTTTTTTGAAAACGATCAAAATAAAAAAGTCATATTTTTTCATGTGACATGTGACTAGACATTTGAGAATCTTTTTAATGAGACATTACTAGACGCTTAAAAAACATATTACTGGGCTTTCCGAGACATATTTATGAAATAATATGTAATTTAAAAGGCAAAAATATGATGGATATCATCATGGTAATGTTCCATTTTAGTATATAGTGACTAGTATAATCGCAACGATAGTAGACTAGTAGTAATATGCAATCGAATTTCAGATCATGAGATTTGTTGTAGTAATTTTTGGGGGAATTTGAGTTTGCACCTCATGTTTTGGATGATATTTGACTTTACACCTCATTTTTAAAATCATTAATGTATGCACCCCATTAGCTCAAAAATTGGGAAGAAGTGAGGTGCAAAGTCAAATGATTTTGTAGTGAATTGGGATGCATACATTAATGATTTTGAAAATATGTTGGAAAGCCAAATATCACCCAAAACATGTAATGCAAAGTCAAATTCCCCCTAATTTTTTTGGTGATACTTCTATCCTAGATATATAGTACTCCGTACTGCCTAATACAATGTCCTTGTTTCACCTATTTTAAAAGGAAATTTATCATGTTTGAAAAAATGAGATTTATTATTACCCTGTATCTTTTAAAAAAAATTACCCTGTATATTATACGTAGTAATATACTCCGTACTACGTATGAAATACAAACGCCTTTCCTCCTTATTGAATGTTCTTCCTTCTTCCAATTTTAAGTTACAGGGGAGGGGGATTCATTTTCCATGGATCAAAATGTTTGGAAATAATTTTTAATTTGTTTGTGTGGTGACAATTTCTCAGATGGACATAAGAGGAGATGCATTTGGTCTACTGGCAGCTCATCCTTTAGCACCCCTTGTATCCCTTCACCACCCTGAAAGTATTCAGCCACTTTTCCCCAACAAAACCCTGCTCCAGTCATTCCAGACCATCATCCAAGCATACAAGACCGACCCGGCCAGAATAATGCAGCAATCAATCTGCTACAACAAGTGGAAATGGTCAATATCCATCTCTTGGGGCTATGCTGTCCAAATATACTCTCGGGTTTTGACCCCCAAAGAGTTAGGAATGCCACTGCAGACGTTCCAAACGTGGCGTACGTTGAGCAACGGGCCTTTCACGTTCAATACCCGACCTGTGAGTCCTGACCCATGCGAGCAGCCCATCGTGTTCTATTTAGATTCGGTTAACGATGTGGCCCAAGAGGGCGTGACAGAGACGACTTATAAGAAGTCTGTGGACCGGCCGAAAAACAAGTGTCCCTTCATGAATTACTTCATTGCAGTTGGGGTAGAGAAGATTGTTGTCTCTGCTGAGAAAATGGACTACCAATTGTTGAAACAGGTGGTCTATCTTTTACAGTTTTACCTTTTATACATCCCCTTTCATGAACTCCTTTGTAGAATGCTATTACTCGGTATTACTTTTTCTGCATCTCATTTACAATAGATTACCCATACTATTTGCATCGTAATTCCAGCGAAAATCCTACAGGAACAATTAAATATAATTCTCACCCATGCAATTATACCATTTATTCCTTTAACCAACTCCGGTTTATAAAAGTATTCTGGCCCACAAATTACATTTATTGTAATTTTTATAGGAAAAACTTGAGGGAAAGACCAAAAAAGGCTTAGATTATAACCAAAATGATAGGCCCCAATATAACTTATACAGCTTGAATATTGGTTATAGAGCCCCAATATAACCAAAAAGGAATTATACCATTTATTCCTTTGAGAGTACTACTTTTAATGTTTCAAAATAGTGACTAATTTATCTTAAATTCTAAACCCATCCCATCTTTTGTATCTCTCCGGCCCCAACAAGTTCATAACTGCCCAGCTGATAGCCCCCAATGTGTGTAGTTTTTTACAAAAGGTACTAGAATGTTGTTGGAAAAGTCGCAAAAAAAGTCGTTGGGAAAAACATCCCATGATGGCATTGCGCATTGACGCATGACGCCGTGTCACTAGTAGCCACATTTTTATCAATGATTATTACTCGTGTATTAGTAAATACCATAGAAAAACTCCAAAAACTTAGATAGTAATAGATAGGACTTCAATAAAAGAACACTATATTTGAGTGTAAAAAAGATATGCCTCCATTGTTTTAGTATTACTACACAATGTTTTTGTATTAGGAGGCAGTGGTACTTATAAATGATTGACTTTATGAATTTGCATATGTGCAGAAACCGCGACGACAATGCTGTGAGATCAGCGAGGGTTTCTGGAGTAGCACGATGAAAATCAAGATTAGGAGATGTAACCCCGGGGAAGTCATATTAATGCCCGGAAGTTAATTAGAACACATATATGATATATCATTGCGGGTTAGTTGGGTGTAAATAATACGGAGTATGTACTACGTTTAGAGGATATGAACTCTATATACCTCTCCTTCAACTCAGGATTTGCTGTTTCAAACTGAATAACAGTGTGACCTTCCTTGTAATACCCAGCATCTTGGTTTGGAGAGAATCCACGATTCTAAATTTTAACTGCAGAGTAATGTATCACGTGTTGCATTACCCGTTTCTGGATTTAGCCTGATAATTTAAAAGCACATTAACTCTAGATGCATACACACACATACATACATATGATTCAGGAGCAGTATACGGGTCAAGTCATCAAAGCTAGGGCTTTAGTTCTCGAAATCATAGAGTAGATTTTATCAAGGGAGAAAAAGGAAATTGTAATATGTTTTTTCCTTAAATATTACAGTACAAACTAAATACCCATTACAAAAAGTTAGAAAAATGTGAATGCTTTATTTTACGACAAAATGCTAGCAAATCAGTTACCAAGGCTCACTGCTTAGCTACTTATTGGCAACTCCATTGACAATTATTATTGCCAGTTACTGTTGGTAACTGCATTTGTAACAATTTTGTCGTAAATTTAAAAAATTCTACGTAGCATTTTTGTCCAATGGATAGTTAATATTCAAGGACACTTTCGTATTCTCATCGTTTTACCTTTCATTGTGTCGATCATTTACTGTTTTTCCTCGTCATTATTCAATATTCTCATTTTGGAGTTCACCTTAAGCCCCCGTAGATAACTATTGGGCCAACGTATATATGTTCAGATTAAGTAAAATATCATTTACCCATTTGCAATTTTGCAGAGGTATCCCCTTTGGTCTTCTCTCAAAGGAACATCTGTGAAATCTGAGCAAATCCAATATTGGTGTCAGAAAAAATTCAAACATTTTGGTCGTTAATCCTAAACTTAGCACACTTCAGCTTTAATTACACCTATCTGCCCTGATGTTTTCTCAAAGTACCAAATGACACTCGATGTTTCTTAAAGATATAAACAACAAATCCTTTAGCTAATCAAGTTTTCTTAAACAAAACAGTAATAATTCAACATCATTGAAACTTGACATTAAAAGAGAGAAATCAAGACAGTGTTTGGTTTTGGCATTGTTTATATCATACCTGCGCCTGTTATAATTGACCCTTTGAAAGATGTATTTCCAGTTGCAAGTGCTCCTTCCAAGTTAGCATTGGTTAAATTTGTCTGCATGTCAGTCAGTCTCAACATAACCAATGCTATTTTATCACTATTTTCCAACCAATTTCCTCATAACATAAATCAGACATTTATTCATATAGTGACTTCAATCCCAAGTGGAAGCGGTCCATGCCAGCTCATTGATCGCTGACTCACTCTCCTATATGGGAGGTCCTGAGTTCGAAACTCCATGGAATCTTCCAAATGGGAGTTCCTGAGTTTGAAACTCCATGGAATCTCCCATATGGGAGGTTCTGAGTTTGAAACTCCATGGAATCCCCCATATGGCTGGTCCTGAGTTTGAAACTATGGAACCAGTTTCAGCCCCATTTACCCCAGCCTCCCCTTGCCTCCCTAGGTTAAAAAAAAGTAACTTCATTCCTAAACTTTGGTAAACCCTTTGGAAAATACCCTTATGGAAAAATGTTCTTTGTAAGACTTTTTCATGCCATGCTTTATTCAAACAGACTAAAATTGTAAAAGACAAAAACATGTTAAATGTGATAATTGTAAAGTAACATATAAATTTGGATAAGTAGTAGGATCAATGACATAAATTTGGGTAATTGTAAAGATAGTACATTTAACAGACATGACTCTGCTTGAGGGCAAAGTGAGTATTAGTATGGAAAATATCATAAATAATATAAAAGCATAATACATTTTCTCAAATATGACTAAGAGATGTTCATTTCTTAAAGAAGAGCTATTAACTACTTTTATTCTTTTTTATGACTGAATAGTCCTATTTTCACACTAAAAAAGACAAATCTATTTGTGCATATGGTCCTTGTTTTACTCCGGTTTCCAGTGATTTCTTAATTAATATTACCTTACCTATACTATTAGAGACTAGATCAAAATCTCCAATTGCATTTTAAGTGAAAAACACCCAGAAATTCAGACCTGATCCACCCAAAATCATCTATACAACAACAAGGCAATGACAATGGTTTCATCACCTTTGCTAAATTGGCCAAGGAGAAGTCAGCACCTCTAAGATCAGCATCAGACAGATCAGCACCTGTAATTAACAACAATATATGATGATAAATTAACCTCAAAATGAATTGGCTAAAAAATGATACATGAAAATAGATAAAACTGTCAGTATTAAGGACAGGAAAAAGTTTAAAAAAAGGTAGTAAAATGAGTTACCTGTTAAATCAGCATCAAAGAAGCTAGCTCCTGTCAATTTTGCGCCTTTAAAATTCACTTGTCTCAATATGGACTGTAAATAATAAGGAGTATATAGATATGAATACAATGCATTCACTTTCCTAAAACAATGCTAATAACAGACTTACCGGTGTTATAATGCATTCACTGGAAATTTGGAGAAAATAAAACAATAGAATAATTACCGTTTTGAAATCTTGCTTGATCAAAGTTCTACCACTAAAATCTTTGCCAGTTAGGTCTTGCCCTCGGGTTACCTCAGCACCATATGGACCTCCACCCTTCGTTCATGTCATGTATCACAGAACCCCCCATTAACATTTAACATACTAATTATGCTGCCTTAGTTTCACAAAGTCCCCTTTGCAAGACAATGGGGTGTGTTTTCTAAATGGTTTATCAGCCATTTTTGGCATTTTGACTGACTTTGACAAAATTCAGTTAGAAAAACAACAAAAACATTAGCGGATTGGGATCGAAAAGATAAAAGCTTTATGCAGTTTATTTTTTTCAGTTAGCTGATTGTAATCCTTATTTCAAGTCAATTAATTGTATAATAGTTTATATTACAAGTAATATATGCTTAACGCAGTACATAATGGTTTTAAAATATCATTAATTTATAGTAAATGTATTAATCAACATATGTAAAATACAAAACTTATTTATACAATAAAGCCATTTTTGTTGCATCACAATTCACTCATTTTCATTTTCATTTTCATTTTCATTTTCATTTATCCCAGTGCCGCAAAGGCTCCCACCTACGGTGGGGTAACGGGGTCGGATGTACTCAGTCTTACCCTGTACTAAAGCACAGAGAGACGATTTTCGGATGACCCAGAGTGAAAATCGCGTCCAAAATTGCATGGACTGACTGCTGCTTCATAACAAAGAAGCGGAGATAGTTTAGTGAGCCATTTTGCTTTATTCCACCATAATCTCAAACCAAAAAAAATGAATCTTTGGCTCCATTGCAAATGATGGAAAATGAATCTTTGGCTCCATCACAATTCACTAGTGCACAAATTTCTCTCTATGTTGTCCGCAAATACAACAATTACAGTTTAAACAATTACATCAGTTCCAGATGTATATCTACAAGTTTCATGAATATAACAAAAATTTCTTAACTAATAAACAATACACTGATGTCCCTTACCAGCCATTTGACTTGTTTCAGCTAACTTACCAAACAACTAAGTTACAAATTTCCCATCAGCTAATATTATTGAACTAATTTCAATCACCCATATAAGTATATAACATAACCAAACAATAATAAAAATCACATACATAGTACGTAGTATTAAGTACTAAGTAATTATCCATCCTTCTTTCAAAACAAGTAATTATCCATCCTCTAGTACAATTCTTTATCAAGTAAGAGGTAATTGCCAAACATTCACAGAGTCAATGACTGCTAAGGTGAAAGAAAAGGGCAATCTTGAAACAGCAGAGTTTACCTTGAAGGCCAAAGCGGGATCAGAGGCAAAGAAGAGTGAAGATGAGAGGAGAGCAATAAAGCTGGCAGTGGATAGGGATTTAGCACAATACGAGAGTGGGTCCCTCCTTGAGGTGTGAGGTGGCTGGTTCAGAGAAGCCCAGGAAGGAGGTCTGGCAAAGATTTGAAAAGGGTGACGATTCTGCGGAGTGGTGGAAACGGTAAATTTAGAATGGGGAGGAGGACTGCTAAGGTTGGAGGAGCACAAGCAGCTGAGAACAGCCATGGCCTGGAGTAGCTAGCTATCCACTGCCCGCAAATGGATAAGAATCATACTCCTTAATACGAAGTACTCCGTATAATTGTAGAGAATTTTCAAAGTAGAAGTTAAATGTAAAGATATGACATATTCCTAAAATAGGGCGTAAAACATGAGTTAATGCAACACCAGGTTCTATTGTTTTAAATTAGTCCTTTTAAAAGTTGCAAATAAGCACTTTTATAGGAGGCTTTGTGCGACCGTCATCATTTGGGGTGGTTTTAGTGAAATTTTTCTATGAAAAATTTTGACCATCTTTTTCATTAGGTCTACTTTATCCATACCAAATTTCAGCTAAAACTTCAATCCAGAAGTCAGTCAAATGATTTTCTGAAATATACCGCGTTATTTAACTGCGCATTTATCTTCAAAAATTAATTTGAGTGCCTTCCCGATTGAATATTTAGCTGAAATTTGATATGAGTAAACTAGACTTAATGAATAAGACTCTCAAAAATTTTCATCAAAAAATTCCACCGGGAACCGCCCCAAATGGCGATGACCGGACAGAGCTTCCTATAAAAGAGCTTATTTGATCTTTTTATGTAAGTTCAAGGGCTTATTTGATAGTTCCCCCTTTCTAAAATAGGGTAAATATTTGTGTTTGACAAAAATAGCCTTAATGAAAGCTGGTGTAACATTATTTGCACATTGCAGTCATCCTCCAAGTGTGTGCCGCAACCATTTTCCAGTGCCGCAGTCGTGTATCTTTCAGCAAGTCTGCTGCCTTCGCCGCGCTTCGCTTAGTTCGCGCTAACATTCTTCGATGAAACTACCGCACTTCGGCAAGCCCCTGTAACATCCATCGAGAATGCCACTTAATATGCATAATGACATAATAATGACATTTTTGTATAAATTCATGACATTCTCAATATGGCATTTCAAATACACTAATTTCAAACTGAGATTGCCATCTTGAAAAACGTACAAACATAAAAGTGACGTTTTTTCAAATAATCAATAATTATGACATTCTCTGGTTTAAAAACTAACATTTTCTTGAGAATTATTAGTTAGGGCATTTTGAAATTCAAATTAATCAGAATTGATAAGAAGAAATTCAAGTTTAGTTATATCCGATTATTTGTCCTTTGTTGAAATCTAGCTCTTCATTTGAAACTTTGAAATTCAAGTTTTTATTTAGAATCAATTCAAATACTACCTCCGTCCCAATTTACTTAGCCATCTTCGACTTTTTCGGTCAAAGGTGGTAAACTTTGACCAATTATTTAAACTAATATATTTATGCAAAATTTAATAATTTTATACTTTTATGATGGTATTTTTAACAAAGAACATTTTCATATCATTTTCATATTATAAATATTTTCTCTATATAAACATATAATCGGTCAAAGTTAGACGTCATTGACTTGAAAAGTCAAGTTTGGCTAAGTAAAATGGGACGGAGGGAGTATTTATTTAGAATTTGATTGATAGAAAAAACAGAAAACAAAGAACCAGAGGGAGGAGGAGGAGGAGAGGAGGAGGAGGAGGTTGTGATCAATGGCAGATTAGCGGTGATTGAATGAGAAGGTCGTCGATGGTGAAGAAGGTGCGGTTAATAGGAAAGTCACTCGTGAGGTGTCGCAATCCATGGCGACCGATTGAACGAGAGAAGGGTTGTGATCGAGGTTGGGGGAAGAGTCGATCAACTATTTTTAGGAAAAAGGACAATAATGTAATCCGGTGTCCTATTTGGGGAATATAAAACTTAAACTCCTACTTTGTAATTTAAACCATGTTTTAGTCTCATTTAGGACAAATTCTTATAGTTGGGGAGATTTAAACAAGTAGGACCTAATCATATTAATTTTCCAATATTAAGACTACATATTAGCATAAGACTTAAGTGCAGCTGTTTTGACAAAATTGCCCTTGCTTTAAGTTCCGTAGCAGACCACATCTGCTTTGAAACACAAGCCTCACCCAATTCTCCTCATACTACTCCAAAACGGAAAGCATCCCTGTCACCTTCGGTTCGCAGCATAAGAGAGGGAGGCAGGTGGACCATCCAGAGCCGGCGGAGAAGCGGGGTTCCGGTAGAATCGAGGATCAATGACATTGTTGAGAACTTGCAAACACTATACAATACATAGACAGTAAATAGTCATTAAACAGACAATAAGTTTTGATAATAACTCAATAGCAGACGATACATAGACAATAAGTAGTCATTAAACAGACAATAAGTTTTGATAATAGCTCAATAACAGAGCATGTAACATAAAACAAAATTCTGATAAACTAATGACAAAAATAAGAAATACCAGTTCAAACAAAAGTAATTTTGTCATATTGCGATTGAGATTGTACATGATTTTGCCATTAAATTGGCAGAATCTAAGTCATCCTCTGAAAATTTGGAGAATCGGAATTTGTTTAAGAACTTGGAACTCAAAATCGAAAATGTGAAATAAAAGTTCAAAATTGTTAGAATCAATGTCCAAACTCAGAAAAGAAGAAGAGGAGGAGGAGGAGGAGGAGGAAGAAGAAGAAGAAATCTCTATGGCGGTGGCGTCCAGTGAAGTCGTCGGCAGCAGTGTGAAGTCGAAACGATCTGGTGCGTCAGCGACGGAGAAGGGTGGCGGTGATGGCCCAGTAGTCGATCGATTTGTGGGAAGAGGAGAGAGGCGTAGTCGATCGATTTGTTTGACATGCAGTGAAGAAGGGTAAAAGTGGAAAGCAACAATAATGTTTCCTAAAGTAAAACTATATAACTCTCACAGATGAAAAAAACACAATTGAATCCTCCTTTTGTAAAGATGGTATGTTTTGGTGCAATGTCTTTCTCTAAAGTCTACCCTGAACAATTTTTTTATCACTTTTTAATTGATTTAGAGTTAAAGCCTAATTTTTACTGCATCTCTTACGTATATTTCAATCAAATAACTTTTATTTTCTTATTTCAAGGTACTATAGTAGCACCCATTTTATTCTCATATTGGGAGACCACAACTAAACATTAATTTGCAAAATTTAAAATTTAAAATTTTCTTATTTTGGTTTTTACTTCATGTGATTTTTTCTTAAATATGACTATATTCAAACTAATATTAAAAAAGTGATTATTTTTATATATGTGATTATATGATGAATATTTAAAAAACATGATGTCACTATATAAATAATTATTTTTAGTTTTTCATTTGTTTGAAAAGAGATATTACTTTTACATTTTACTGAATATATGACTAAATGTGACTAAGCAGGGTTTCACTACTATATGTCACTCATTTTAATATGAAAAAACTCAATTAACCTAAGAGATTTTCCCAAAAAATTAGTAGTAAAATATATATAGAAAAAAGTGACTATAAGTTATTATGTGTAAGTTTGATAGTCATTACGATGTAACATTTGAATACAATTATAGTTAGCAAAGTAAAAAAAAGTAAAAAAAATAGTCAGTAAAGTTACGATTCATTATTTTATATAACCAATAATTTTAAGGGGCATATGTTTTAACTAAAACTATTCTTTGATTACAATTTCATGAGAATACGAGTATATAGAATTGGGGTACATATAAGAACAAAAATGAATATTTTAATTATAATGCAGTTGTATTGACATACAATAAAGGCACCTAAGTGGGTATTGTTAATGGCTGGCCTCCTCTTTTGTAATCTATTTTGGACGATCTAATTGTTCTAGCAGTTAACAGCTCCACTATCCCGCCAATTTAGGTGGACAGTTACTCGACTTTATCTTTTCTTTTTAAATTCTTTTATCTTGCTAATTAATCTTCCGTCCTTATCTTGCATTGCTGGAGGCCTGGAGTAATCTATTGGGCTATTCATTTGTTCCTTGGGCCGAATAGCCTTATTATAATCAAATAAACCCTTGTCCAAGAATTGCCCCATTTCAAGAAGTTAAAGCGTATGGTGACACGTGTCAATCCGTTAATCGGCAACTTTTCCAAATTTGTGAGAACTCTTACTTTTCATTTTGATCACTCTACCTATCGACTCGTCATCTATCTGGCGAGGCACAACTATTGACTCGTCATCTGTATGACGTAATGCGTCGGTCAATTCGTCACCCGTCTGAAGAGAAATTTTTGTCACTTTTCTTGCAAGTATTTTTTTTATCAAATTATCTCTTTGACTGAAGCGATGAAGAATGAAGGCTGAGATGGTGAGATTTTATCCTTTTTTCTCTAAATTTGTACTAAACTAAACGATGTTGATGTTGGCACTTCGATTGGTAAGGGAGACTTCATCCATGTGTGTCACTTCTGTGAAGCTTTGTTCGATGTGTGTCAAGACATCATCCATTGTTGATTGTTCCTGTACAAAATGAATTTACTCGGGTTGGCCAGCCAACAACCCTCTGATGTTTAAGTTAGTGGTCATTTATATATAAATGAAAGAAATAAATTAAACATGAAACAACTTTAAGGGTATCGTATCGTAGCTTCTCGGAACTTATCTTTGTCAGATGATATGCCCCCTCCCCCCCCCCTCCCCCCCCCCCCCCCCCGTCCGACGATTTCAATCATCTTGTCTGGTTCATCCTACCATGGCATGATGATGACTTGTTCCTCAGGTCTTGAATTAGGTTTTTAAGGTTGTAATCATGCTTCCTATGAGATTCTGATTTTCTCGTGCCCCCATGTTACTCAATTTTTCAGCGACGGGATTGTTAGTCTTCTTCTATACGGATGAAAGCCAACGTCTAGACACATGGCCTCCTCTTTTATAATCTATTCTGGATGATTTAATTGCTCTGCGGTTACTTTAATTTTTTGAATCTAAAGGATCGGGATTTTATAATAAAAACGAGATAGGATACAAGAAAACATCCATACAGTTATTATGACAGATATGATTGTGAGCCCTGAGAATAGACATAGAATCAGTCACCTCGTATAAAGCAGCTTGATTCGCTAGACACGAAACGGACAATATAAAGATCAAAACAATCAGGACGGAAATACTTCCTATCACACGTACTCCAGAAGTTGCAATTTTCAAATCAAACCTAGCCAAACTAAAATAAAAACAAGTTCTATTAATGGAGAAATAAAATTGAAATAAAGTCTTTCCACAAAACTCTTCATGGCACGGAGGTGGTTCTGG